TAGGATAATTTCAAATATTATTTTGTTATTTTTTATGAAACATTGCCTGTTTGATTAATTTTTAAAAATGTATTCAGTGACAATAGCATAGAAATATTTCTGCTTTTATCTTTTAATTTAGTTAACATGGAGCCAGGTATGCATGGGAGCCAGGCATGGCTAATTCAACACTATGTTTAAAAACTACATCCTTAAATAAATATCTTTGAAATGGAAGTTCTGTGATAAAATTTCAAGAAAATTAAGTGATTGCTGTGTTGGGTCATGATTTTAATTTCTGCAAAATATTAATGCTAAGAAAAAATATTTTAAATCATTAAGACAAAAATGTCCTATGATACAGAAGTAAACATTCATGCTGTTTACTTCCTATTTTATGTGAAAATATGTGTATGTTAAAATGTATTTTATATTATGTTTCTCCTTTGTGAAAATTAGTCTTGGATTAGGCAAGGACTTTCAGAATTTAGCTTTCCTGAAGCTTCCTTTAAGTCCAGGCCCCAAAATAGGACCAGTTGCTTTTTTGTTTGGATTCTTAGAATATTCTGAAACACATTTCTCTGTGTCAAATTTAAAGAAGCTGTCCTTCCTCTTTGAAAAAAACCACACATTTATTTTTTAGTTGTAGGTGGACATAATATCTTTATTTTATGTGGTGCTGAGGATCGAACCCAGTGCCTCACACATGCCAGTCAAGCACTTTACCTCTGAGCCACAACCCCAGCCCCTGTCCTTCCTCTTAAGCTTTGACATTGACATCTTGTTTCTGAAAGACCTAGTTGTTGGAGTATAAATTCCCCAGTGTCTAACATTTTCAACGCTTTGGCAAAGTAGTTTTGTAGAGGAAAGAATGAGCTCTTCACACTAATTGTTAACTTTAGACAGCCAGTTTCTCAACTCTGGTTCTTGTTAGATATTTCTCTTCTCTGTTCCAATTCCCAGAGAAAATCAGTTATGTGTACACTGCTGGATGTACAGATTACTGTAATGTGAACTAAGGTACAGGACTTGTTTAATTTTATCTTTTGTAAGACCATGTTAAAGATATTGAAATGCCAGAATTGCAGTTATCTTGTCATATTGTCATTTGTAGATAATCTGAAATAGAAACATTTCTCTATGGAATAATATTTTCCAAGGACCTACTTAAATCGAAGAAATATTCCTAAATAAATCAGTTGAGCATTATATTGTAATTCATATCGCTTCTCGGCCTTTTGGATAAGATCAAGTGTAGTAATTCATATATGCCAACATGTATATGTAATTCATATATGTGAGCTTAAGGAAAACATTAATTTACTTAAAATTAGCATTTTTGTTTATCTCATTTTTTAATTGGATAGGACATGTCTGTTTTTCTGTGCAGGTTGTAAAAAATGATGTAGACAATACCATACATGTAACATTATACAGTTTACTTTTCTATATTTTGGATATAAATCCCTTATATATGATTTACAAATTTTTTCCCATTCTATACATTGTCTTTTTATAAAGAATCTCTTACTGAATTCAAAGTCAGGAAGATTTATCCCTGTTTTCCTCTAAGGATTTTATAATTTTGTTCTTAAAATTAGGTTTTAATCCATTTTGAGCTGTTCTATAAACCAAACACCATTTGTGCAAAAGATTTTCTCTACTGTATGATCTTAGCACACCATAGATGGATGGATTTATTTTTTGACTCTCAATCATATTTCATTGACCTCTCTATTGTTTCTCCAGTACCACACTATCTTGTTTGCTGTTACTTTGTAGTAAGTTTTGAAATCTGTAAGTTCTCCTACTTTACTTTTTCCCCTAGATCATTTGGATTGTTCTGGGTCTCTTGTAATTCCATATAAATCAGCTTGTCATTTATACCCAAAAATTCAACTGGTATTCTGATAGGGAAAGCATTGAGTCTGAACAGTTAGGAGAGTATTGCCATTTTAACAATGTTAAGTTTTCCAATTCTTGAACAGAAAATGTTTTTGCATTTATTTAGGTCTTTTTAAGTTTCTTTCAAAAACATAACTTTTAGAGCATACATTTTGGACTTCTTTTGTTAACTTATTTCTAACCATTTCATTCTTTTTGATGCTTGTGAGTGGAATTGTTAATTTCATTTTCTTTGTTACTGGTATTATAGAAGCACAATGGATTTTTGCATGCTAATTTTCTATCCTGCTAATTTGCTGAATTCATTTATTAATTCTAATAGTTTGTGTCTATGAGTGAAATGTTATAGGAGTTTTTAACTTACAAGATGATGCCATCTCTGTTAAGATAATTTTACATTTTTCCAATCTGAACACTTTTTCCCCCTCTTTTTCCTGTCTAATTGATCTGACTAGAACTTCTAACACTGTTAAATAGAAGTGCTGGCAGCAGCATCCTATCTTGTTCCTCATCTTAAAGGAAAATCTCTTGATCATATGTAGATTTTATTGTGTTTGTATGGTTTTCTTCCATTCCTATTTTGTTGAGTATTTTTAATTATAATAATGTTGAACTTTATCAAATATATTTCTGTATCAATTGATATGATCTCTTTTTCCTTTATTCTACTAGTGTGATATATTATATTGATCAATTTTCATGTGTTGAAACATATTGCATTCCAGGAATAAATCTCACTTGGTCATGGTATATAGTCAGTCCTTTAAATTGGCTGAATTCACTTTGTTAGTAATTTGTTGAGGGGTTTTATATACATATTTATAAGAGATATTGGTCTGTAATTTTCTTGTTATGTCTTTGGTTTTAGTACTGGCCTCATGGAATAATTTGGGAAGTGCTCCTTCCTCTTTAGTTTTTTGAAAGAGCTGATGAATATTTTTTTTTATGTTCAGTAGAATTCAATGATGAAGTTATGTGGGCCTGGGCTTTTCTCTGAGGGCAGACTTTTAATTATTTATTGATTCAGTCTCCTCCATTGTTATATGTCTGTTCAGGTCTGTTTCACCTAAGTTAGTATCATTCCAGGATATAGCCTTTACAGTCAATATGTATTTATATTTCAGTGTAGTTTTAATTTGCATTTCCATAATATTGAACATTTTTCAGATGTTTTTGAAAAGGCATGTTACGTAGCTTTTTTGAAGTGCCTTTTTAAACATTTCCCCATTTTTAAAATAAGTTATTTGGCTTTCTTTTTAAGTTGTGAGATTTTTTTTATATATTATGGATCAGAGAACTTTGTCAGTAGTTTATAGCTTTAGTATCTATCAATTCTGACCAGTTTATATATGTAGTTTATAGCTTTATTATCTATCAATTCTGATCAGTGTTAAAGTAATTTTATATATAAAGTATGAGATAAGGGTTGAGGTTTATTTTTTTGTATACTCATTTTTGTTGAAAAGACTGTTCTTTCTCATTGAAACAACTTGATCACTTGGTCAAAAAACAAGCGTCTGTAAATGTGGCTCTATTCCTGATATGTCTGCTTTTAAGACATGCATATGTTTTTTATTTGTGTCTTCCTACTATATTGACCTTGTTCTCAATAGGCAATGTTTCTTTTTTTGCTCTTAGTAATTCTTCTCTTTAAAAAAAGTTTATTCTTTTCAATATTAATATAGTTTGTCCATATTTTTAACTTTACTTTCTATATGTTATAAATTTGCTCAGCTTTTTATTTACTTGTTACAAATTATTAATATGTTTTATCTTTAAAATCCCTTGCCTGTAAAGAAAATATAGTTTGGTCTTGCTGTTTTTCCAATTAAACAATCTCTCCACAATTTTTTATGAATAATGAGATATTTATTAGGGAAGGTAGATTAAAGGGTATATATTAATTAAAAATTAGAGGGAAAAACACCAATTAGAAACATTAACAATTTACAAATAATATTAATCAAAGGGAAAGGGAATCACATTTTACTTTGTCTCCACAATTTTATTGGAGTTTTAGTTCATTTTTGTTTAATGTAATTATTGATATATTTTGTCTCTATTTCTTTTTTCTGTTCTTTTCTGTTTTTTATTATAAACAATTTTGTAGTATTATTCTCTATTAGCTTTGTTTGTTTTATTTCAATGCATTTTTTTTGTTATTTGATTCATAGTAGAACCATAGTATGCAATTTTTACTTCCAATAAAATATAGGAAACTTGTAATAGTATACTTTCATTTACCCACTCTCTCTCTCTGTGCTTTTGTTATATAGTATATGTTTATATGCATAGTATAAACCGAAGAGTAAAATGTTATAAACTAGCTTAAAGAGTCTTATGCCTTTTAGGAAATCAAGAGAAGAATACATATGCACTTGCATATATTACCTATTTTTTATTCCTTTCTAATAGCCTAGATAGTGCATGACATCTTATATTTCAGCCTGAAGAATTTTCTTTAGCATTTTGTGAATACAAAGTAGTTAGCAAGGAATTGTTTCACTTTGTGTTTACTTAAAAATGTCCTCTCAGTCTTTATTTTTGAAGAAAAAATTTAGTGGACATAACTTCTTAGAAAATATTTTTTATTCTCAACACTTTGAATAGTATTTCACTTTGAATATTATTCCAGTATTATATCTCCACTATGCTATTATTCACAATTTTGTTCTTTATTTAATGTGTTGTTTTCTTTGCTTTTCTCATGAATTTTTTTTGTTGTTTACTTGTGGTGGTTTGATTATGATATACCTAGGTGCAATCTTCTTTGTTTATTTTATTTGTGGTTCCTTGAGTTTCTTATAGCTGTGATTTAACATTTTTCAACAAAGTTGGAAAGTTATGGATTTTTATCTACTCATTCTCTTTTTCTGTTTCTTGTTTGATTCTAGTTCTCCTTATGAATCATGAAAGACATTTGTGATACATAGTTTTAAACTTTGGAAGAATGTTTGGAAATAAGGGAGGGAAGGGAAGTATGAATGAAATTCCACAATCTCTAAGAAAATGTAGTTCCTTAAATATGCATACACTATACACAATTCAGTACATTTACAGTGGAAATATTAATGTTACATGTCCTCTTTTTCTGTTTTTACAAAATCTATGCCTAGGTGCATTTCCTCCCTCTGCTATTTATGCACGAAAAGACTTGCTACAAAGATCTACCCATATTGCTACCAAGACTTTCCAAGCTCTTCGAATATTCGTGAATAATGAGCTCAACGAACTCCACATGGGACTGAAGACAGCTCAGAAGTTTCTGAAACCTGGTGGTCGTCTTGTTGCCCTTTCCTTCCATTCATTAGAGGATCGCATTGTCAAAAGGTTTTTGCTTGGGATAAGCATGACAGAAAAGTTTAACTTAAGTGTTAGACAGAAGGTAATACAAACATCCCAATTGAGTTCATATCATGCAAATAAGGAAGGAAGCTCTGTAAGACCTCCTTTAATGTGGGAATTGATACATAAGAAAGTGCTTACTCCAGAAGATTGGGATGTACAAAATAACCCCAGAGGTCGCTCAGCCAAGCTTAGAGCAGCTATGAAATTATGAGATCTGATGTTCAATTTTTCCCTCAGTTTCTTTAATTTATTTGTCTATGTGATGAATAGGTTAATACCTCCAGCTTAAAGCATAGGACAGCCTTGAAATTGATAGAATTTAGAATTATTTTCTTCTCAAAAGAAACTGTAGGAAGTTTTAACATATCATACAAAGCTTAACTCAGAGCAGCAGCATCTTGGGGCTGGAAAAAAATGTGTTTATCTTGCATTATATTTGACTTCTGAAATTCAATTCTTTCTCTGAGCAGGAAATTTTTTTTAAAAATATTATGTTTATCTAAATATGTAAATTCCAACTGTAAAAGAGAGATTATAATCTCTCTGCATGCCCTAAATTCTGAATTTAGATATTAAAATTTATAACAGATTTTCTGTGGCTCAAATAATTAATGATAATATGGAATGAATTTTAACTTCCATATTGGTAAATAATTAATTACTGTAGCTTTCTAAAAGTAGCCTTTTTATAAGTTTTAATTTTCAAATATTATTTTAAAATGGCATTATACTTATGGATTTCACTATTGAAATTTATAGTTCATTGCTTTAAAAGGATTTTTTCAGAGTGATATGCGCTAATTTTCATAAATTCCAAAATAAAAGTGTAGAATTTCCCTAACTACCATGAGAGAAGTGTTTCACAGAATTTATATTTAATATCAATTATATCTATTTTAATAACTCAGAATTACTATTAGTAAATAATACAAACTTGTTTGAATTCTGCATTTTTATTGAACTATTAAAAAGAATTCAGTAGAGCTATTTGAAGTAAGAAACTGTCTGATTTATTCAATATATTAAAATTAATGCTCCCTTAATGTTTCTACCTAGACATAGAAATTATAATAAGGATAAAAAGTTGTTTCAGGAAAATTGCACTTGGTGGACTATTCTATAACAAATTGATGAGATTGATTCATAATTCACATGTCATTTTTTATTAGTAAGTATGCACTTCTAATTTATTCAGTTATTCAGCAAGTACTGAACTTGACATTAGAGAAACAAAGGTAAGTACAATACCCATGATCCATAGTACCTGTCTGTGAAGCTTGTTGTCTAGTGGACAAGAATGATGTTAGTTAAATAATCACAAAAGTCAATATGAAATGGACACAGTGATAAATGCTACACAGAAGCATACAATGTAATTTAAAAGTATCTGGTAGAGATTCGACCTGTTGGAGGAAACCAGGTCTGAGAACGTGATTGTGACCTGAAAGATGAACAGGAGATAATTAATCAAAGGGTATATGGAGTGGGGTGGGAGGATGGTGTTTAAAGGTACATATAAATGAGTATTCTCTTAAGTAATTCTTGAAATCATTAATTTTCTCAGTAAACTATTTCTTCAAATACAGAAAACACTCATACTTTCCAGTATGATTACAAATACTTAATAGAAAAATCCAAGTGAATGAAATATCAACATGATTATATTTACCTCAGACTCATTTTATTTACCTATGTAATATTTAACTTTACTCCCCAAACTTGTTCACTGCTTTTATTTTATAGGCTTTATTTAAATCTAAACAATCCTGCAATGAAATCAGGATTAGAAAAATATCTGGGGAATGTGCTCAAAATATAAACAAGAGAATGCACTTAGGTTAATCCCCTGAATCCTACCTGAAGAATTTTATGTTTCTCTTCATGTGTAAAATATATTTGTGGATGAAAAAGATTTACAATAGTAAATTCCCATATGAGTATCTGATTAGAAAATAAAAGACCACACTCTTATATTAAAAAATGATTCACCTATTTCATTAATCATTTTTACATCCTGTATAATATGGAGAATTTTTTCATTGATGTCAAGTTAAAACTGATTGCACTGGATTGGATAGTGTTGTCCTAATATTCATCTGCTTCCTTATTTGGAAATACCATCATTTCAGATATGAGTAGTTAAGATGATGTCATACTGGAGCAGGGATGGCCTTTAATCCAATGTGACTTATGTCCTTATAAGAAGATCAGAGATACAAGTGAATACGACCTGAAGGTGGAAGCAGAAATTGGAGTGATAAGTCTATAAGCTAAGGTATACTCAGTATTGTTGGCAACCACTAGAAGATAAGACAAAAGCAAGAAACAAATTCTCCCTCTGAATCTCCAGCAAGAACCTACCCTGCAGACATCTTGGTTTGGGGGCTTCTAGCCTCTAAAACAGTTAAAAAATACATTTCTATTGTTTTAAGCTACCCAGTTTCTGGTAATATGTTACAGCAAAACCTAGGAAACTAATACTCTGACAGATCAAAATCCTGAGTAATATGATGAGAAAAATACTTCTTCAATACACACCAAATTGGTTTCAAAATGTTTTAGTGCAAAATATATTAAATGTTTTGTTATTAGGCTTTGTTGTAAAATGCATAATAAAATATGTGAATGAGTTTTAAATGGTTAATTATGGAGGATGGCTTTGGGAAATTCAAACAATACACAGAGAAAATAAAAATTGATTATTAGGATGAATATGCAACACTTTTCTAATAAAATATTTCTGAATCTCTATATTGACTGCTTTGTATGAATCATTTTAACTTAGCATTGATATCATGTAGTGTATCCCTTATTTTTTGTTCATCATTTAAAAAATGAAATTTAATAGCTAATTTTAGTTTATATCTCTACTTATTCACTTTGTTTTAAAATTTGTATATTAGTGACATTCTCTCCAAAGTCTCTAGGATTTTTTTGAAAGGTATTAATCATATCTGTATGTCATATCTGATATTTCATGTAATATATGTATAGTTTTGCTTACATTCATTTGTATTGAAGTATTTCTTATAACTACTAGTGTATAAGAGAATACCAGTATGCCATTGTTTTTGAAATTAATCTCTTAAAATTCACTTTCAAATATTTGAAAATCATAACTTCTTTAATCTTTATAGAATATTTTATATTCTATATATATTTTAAATTTCATTATATAGTATTTCTATAGTTTAAAAAAAATCCTAATTTTTATTTTTATTTATTTATTCATTTATTTAGATAGAGATTGACCTGGGGTGTATAACCACTGAGCCACATTCCAAGCCCTTTTTTAAATTTTGAGTCAGGGTCTTGCTCAGTTGCTTAGAGCCTCACTTAGTTGCTGAGGCTGCCCTTGAACTTTCGATCCTTCTGCCCTAGCCTCCCAACAGGCATGCGCCACTACACCTGGCTAATTACAGGCATGCGCCACTACACCTGGCTAATTCTTGTTTTTAAATTAGAAGTGTTTATGATTCCATTTTTCAGACTTTAAAAGACAGTTTTAATTTCATTTGAGATCTCTCATCCAAAAAGTATGAGACAATTCTTAATGGAATGTAATTCTTAACCATACACACATGCACATACATGCTCACACACACACATTTATATTCATTCAGTAAGCATATAGGAAAGAATAACTGTTTAAGAAGAATTTTTTAAAAATATACCTCTTGCCTAGTCCTCCCATGCTCCCCCTCCCTACCCCACTATGAATCAGCCTCCTTATATCAGAGAAAACATTCGGCATTTGGTTTTTTGGAATTGGTAACTTCACTTAGCATTATCTTCTCTAACTGAATAGATGAACTATAGATAGGGCAAAGGGGTGGGAAGAGAAGGGGCGCTTGGGTTTAGAAATGATGGTGGAATGTGATGGACATTATTATCCAAAGTACATATATGAAAACACGAATTAGTGTGAATGTACTATGTATACAACCAGAAATATGGAAAATTATGCTCTATATGTAATGCATAAAGAATTGTAATGCATCCCTCTGTCGTATATAAATTTAAAAAATTAATTTTTAAAAAAGGCAGCAACCTGAGGAAGCACTGATATTGAAATTTCAAATATAACAAGGATTTTAAGCCTGATAACAATTTTTCCATTTTCTCTCAAGAGCTTCACTAGATTTTTAAATAGCATTCTTTTCAAAATTCAAGCAGCACTGTATGATGTCAAAATACAGTGTGAAAAAGAGAAAATATGGAAAAAGGTTATGACCAATTTGGCTATTACTTTATTTGGTAGAATATCTATGTTGAGGTATTTGTGATGCTTGCAAACAATAGCCTGAATCTTTTTTGCATATTGTTTGGAAACAAAAATTATAAAAGTTGAGTTTGATGCATAAATGTTAAGAATTCTAAACATGAGGTCATGAAACCAGTTTTGTCAATTTTGATGCTATAAAATATAGTTAAACTACTTCTGCATTTTAATAAACATTCAGAACAAAAACTCAAAAGAAATTTAAAAGTTTAAAAAAATAAAAATATACCTCTCCTTTTTATATTCCTTCTCCTCCTTACCTTTCTGTATTCACATTACCTGTGAGTTTCTTGTGCCAATTGAGATGATATTAGTTTATATTTCAACTTTACTTTGGAAAAAGAAATATTAGTAAAATTGGCATATTCTCTGGCAAACTAAGCCCTACATGTTATAATCTTTGTAATGGATAAAAATTCACTAAGAATTGCTTCTGGTTAAAATTCTGTAAATTTTGGCCTGCCATGGTGGTGCATGCCTATAATCCAAGCAGCTTGGGAGGCAAAAGGACAGCAAGTTCAAAGCCAGTATCAGCAATTTAGTGAGGCCCTAAGCATCTCAGCAAGACCCGTTTCTAAATAAAATATAAAAAATGCGAGGAATGTGGCTCAGTGGTTGAGTGCCCCTGGGTTCAGTCCTCGGTACAAGAGAGAAAAGAAAAATTCTGAATTTCCTTTAATGTAGCTATTTTTCTATTCAGTTTTTATAGTTGCTACAACTTTCTAATAGATATTTTTGTGTAGCAGCATTCTATTAGAAAGGGATAAGCATTAAAATATAAAGGAAATTTTGTGCAAAGCTTGAAAAATATAAATTTAATGACAGAAAATCTGATATATTTTTCTCAGAACCACATACCATATGTTTGATGTCGAATGGAGCATGGTTTATAAAAATCAGCATCATATTCTAAAAAGGCTGGGTTGTATAACAAGCATAACTATTTTTATATTATTTTCTCAAATTTCATCTGCTAATAGCTACTATTTCCAGCTAATGTTTGGTAAC